TGAGAAATAGTAAAGTGTGTAGATACATCCTGAGACATAACTATACCATAAATTACTATATAGGAAACAATTGGTTATAGAGTGCAAAAGAATCCTACAAATACAAGGAACTTATGCAATGCAGGCTTGCAAATTAAAGTGTAAAAATAAAATTACCCCGCATATCCAGTCCTTGTGTCTTTATGTTGCTTCCTTTGAAATTGCTGGGGGAAATAGTTTGTTGTTAGTTTGGTTAGATTGATTGGGTAGATTACGTAAGCTGGATTCACTGATCAGACGCACTATTAACACTGAGGACATCTTCTGGTTACAAAGGGGTAATACCAAATGATAAGCATAAACAAAAAAAATAAACAGATTATTTATATGGAGCCAGATCAAAAAATAAAAAAATTATATATTTACAAAATAAAATTTATATATGCAAAATAAGATTCACATTTACAAAATTAAATTTTTAAATTTGTAAACACACAATTCATTAATTCACAAGTAAAAATCCGTGATATTTTTCACCAAATTAATTGGACTTGAGTATTTTCAATGCGTTGTTTGAACTTATGAATTGGATTTTTTAAATGTCAATTGTGTCGTGCATGTTTTAATTTTATTTTGTAAATTTAACCTACAATATAATATGATCTGGCTCCATATTTAGGGTGGACACAAGTATATTTAGCGTTATATATTTATAATCAACATGCTTGGTGTGAATGGGCCTTCTCAGAAATAAAAATACACAAACAAGAAGAAACTACATATGATTAGGATGTTAAAATAAACAAAAACTCACCTCTCTGGTCTCACTGCTGACTAAACCGGAAGCAGACAGGTTCATCACTTTTCTGGGGGGTTCCTTGACACATTTCCATTGTGGTCTGCTCTATTTGCAGTGCATTTCTGTATTTGCATGTGTTGATGTGCATGTTGTTGTCAAATCTGTGAAAATAGTGGGGGGCTTTGTACATGTGTTTTCTTAGCCACATCTGAGCTCTCTCGTACACCACTGTAAAAATCATCCCAACGTTTCCTAAAAAACACTGCAGTTACTACAGATAAATAATAACTTATTAAAAACCTGCTTCAGAAACATCTTTGTAAAATAAAGACAAATAAATCATAAGAACAAATTCATAGATAAAATATTTTCTCCAGCACTATACTGAAAAAAATGTACAGACACTAATATGGTGTATAGCACATTCTGCACATCCAATACATACATTTTATACTGTTCAATTGATGGAGAGAAATCATAAGCTTCACTAGCACACTGCAAAAACAACTTATATCCAGTTACATTTTAAGAAAATTTCAGTCTTCTTCAAAAATGTCAAGCATAAACGAACAACACATTTGTTTTTGGAAATTTGAAAGGTTCCCCAGAGTTAACATTTTTTAATCCATTCAGCCAATCTCCAGGTTTGACAGGAGCACTTTTAGCTTAGCTAAAGCTTAAGCTTTTTAGCTTAGCATTAGCATCTCGTTAAAAAAATCCTATTTGAAGCTTGCATATTTTGTAGTTACATCGTATACTAAGATCAACTAAATAAAGCAATTATTTATTTATTTATTATTTTACATTTTGAAACAGATGCTAATGGTCTAATCTGATTTAATGATTTATGCTAAGCTAAAATTGCCCCTAACAAACCTGGAGATGTATTTAACAAAAAAAGGGGAGTGTTACTTAAATTAAATGAATGGATAGCCAATTCCTTAAAATTATTTGCAAAATGTCCCTGTAATTTCCAAATACTTTTTTTTTTAAGAGTAGAAAAAAAATCCTAGCCTTTCCTAAAAACAAATTGTAGGAAACAAATAAAGAACATGTTTGTGAACATTTCGCATTTTATGTTTCCTCAGGAAGGAAAAGCAAAAATAATGTATCACAGATAAATCATAGAATTTATTATAGCACCAAAGGCTATACAAAGGGAAGGAAAGATGTGTTAAACAAATAAAACACAGTATGGTTTGGATGTACACAGACTCTGGGACGAGGAAGAGCCATGCACTTCTGTTCTTACTCGCTTTCATCTTTAGCCATTTTGCCGTTCACTGGTATAACGAACAAGGTTTTGTGTAGGATATGAACCTGAGTTCATGGACTTATTCTACGTTATACACTATGAGGTGGACAGCTAGTTGGGTGGTTTATCTGCTTCAGTTCACCAAAAAAGCCACAGTTCCACATACATTGACCTTTTCAGTTAAAAACAAACTGAGATAATTAAATACTCCTCTTTACATATACACAGTTGTGCCGCAAAAGCATTTTTTTTTCTTCACTTACAAACATATAAAAATACTCATTACTAGTCTGATAAGAAAATAATGTATAAAAGTATATAGTAAAAACATTTAATCATGTCCATTCAAAAGATCACTTCCATCTTTTTTCTTATATTACATGATGATAAAACACGAAAACTAAAAGAGTTTTTTTGTATCCCTCATACAGAAATGCACGCTGGAAATAAAACAGAAAGATGAGAATAAAGTGTGACGATGCCATAGTGATATGAACCCTCGGTGTATGAATTATCAGATAACAAACACCAGATTTAAATGTGAACGTCACACAGATGTCAAACCGGATTATAAAAAAAGGCCAGTCTTGAGGGAATGTGTGTATATGGTGTATGAATTCTCTCGTGTGTGTGATATATTTTAAAAAAAAAGTCTTATTTTGTTCTGATTATGTGCATGAAACAAAGTTTAAAAGATGCCTGTGATGTCAGCAGTTCAACCGTCCCCCGTCTTTACACTGATTCAGTCACTTAAATGCTTTTCCAAACCAACTTTTAAAAAGAAAATCACTGCAAAAGTGAATTGAAAATACAAGGCCAGAAAAACACACAACTTCTCGTGGGGTACTTAGCAGAGAACATACAGGCTTTTGTGCACAACTGCGCGAACGTAGTCCGAACAATGTGAAAACACTGTATATGGTGGAACCTGAGTCTGGAGAGAGTCTGTAGAAAGTCTGAGCTGAGAGTCAAGAAGGCTTGAACAATCTGGCTACATGTACAATACATTTCACAATCATAGAAGTTAAAGGGACAGCTCAACCAAAAAGATGAAAATTGTCATGTCATTCCAAACCTCTTTGACTTTTTGTGTACATATATATTTTTTGTCCAGCCTTAGTCGGCCATAAACCTACATTAAACCCTATAGATTTCCATTTAGCAAAAAAGTAAAATAATAATATTAATGTAGATACACATACACACATACAGGTGTTTGACCATGACACTGAAACACTGGCCAATTTTAGTGTTGGAGGTTTCATTGTTAAATTCGACCAGCCTTGTGGCCAATCCTCATTGACTGACATACCAGAGAGCTAACGCGGATTGTCTCCAAAAAAAAAAACATAAAACAATAAGACACTCTTGTGTCCACCAAAACTGTTCAATCTGAGCTCCTCAGGGTCAATATACATGGCCAGGCCTTTGAAGTAATCTTTGGTCACTCATGCCAATGCCAAATGTTGGTCTCAGTGGTGCCAGCAGCGAAAATCTTGGGCTGTGGACAATCAGAACCATGTATTGTTCTCTGATGAGTCCACCTTAACTGTTCTTCCCCCATCCGGGAGAGTTACGGTGTGGAGAAGCCCAAAGGAAGTCTACCACCCCGACTGTTGCATGCCCAGAGTGAAGCATGGGGGTGGATAAGTGATGTTGGGACTGCAATATCATAACATTTCCTAGACACAATACTATTGCTAAATGGGCGTGTCAAAGACTACCAAATCATTCTAGAGGACCAAGTGCACCCAATAGTATAAATATTATATGCTGAAGGCAGTGCCATGTATCAGGATGATAATGCAACAGTTCACACAGCAAGACTGGCGACATAGTGGTTTGATCAACATGAAAGTGAATGGCCTGCACGGTTACGAGACCTAGATATTATTGAGCCAATTTGGGGTGTTTTGAGGGAGTGAGTCAAGAAACGTTTTCCTCCACCATCATTATGTAGTGACCTGGCTACTAGTCTGCTAGAAAAAAGGCTCTAAATCCCTCTGGCCAATGTGCAGGACCTACACCATACTAATGAATTATCGTGGTCAAAGCAGGCGTTTCAGTTTCAGTTTGTGAACTATCCTTTTAAACTATGGACCTTTTTTAGCAGAAAACCTCTGGGTTTCTTACGGTGTAAAATTTTGTATTTGTAATTGTTTTTAAATTTACATAAGATTACACTTAAATTGACCTTTCTAAAAAAGTACAGTATGTCATATTGTTTAGCTTTGAATATTCAAAATGGCCATGTGAATACCATGTAAAATAATTATGATGCATCCTTCTGACATTTTTATCACAAAATTTTTAAGTAAGAACTATAGATTCTAAGCAAACTACCCAGTATCTATTTTAAAAGGTTGCATGTGTGTTTCAGGGACCAATATTTTGGTTTGGAAAAGTCCCAGCAGGCACACAACATCATAAGATATTATTATAAGATTAGATTTAGATCATGACGTCAGGTGACCAAAATTCAATGTCTAGCCAGCATCTAAGGACAATGTTATTTTGATGTCCAATAATGATATCCAATTACACTGATATTTGGTTGATTTTAGGTTGTGTTGAAAAGTGACCAAAATCTAACGTCTGATGTCATAGTTGTAACGTCCACACAACGTCAAGGTGTAACATGAGTAAACGTTGATATTTGGTTGATTTTAGGTTGATTTTAAGTTGGACGTTAGACATTCTGACATCAACCTGCTTTTCATTTACAAACAAAATCCAACATCCCCACGACGTTGAGGTAAAGCGTCAATATGACATCATGTTGATGTTTTGTGCCTGCAGGGGTTTAACATGAAACAAGAGTTTAAATTTTCATTCTTTAGTCGAACTATCCCTTAAAATAATCAAATCCATACACGCCAAGAAGCCTTAAAATGCAAAAAAGCAGACCAAAAAAAAGGCATATCGAGAAATAAAACAAGAAATTAAAAAATTAAAAAACGACTTCACTACTGACAAAGTTGGCATCATGTTAGAGGCTATCTATATATGTACATTTCTGCGAGTATACATTACCATTTTAACACATGTCAAAACAAGCTGGTCAAACTCGCGCGCACACAATATAAAGGTGGTCTCAACTCACACAAATTTTCACTTATGTACAATCGCTGCTTAACATATGCAAGTAAAAACAGATATGGCACGACACACACACACACAAACAAAGCTTTAGAACGTCATCTCTAAAAGACCGATGACTAAAAGTAGTCATTCGCAATCCCAACGGTGTTTCGTTTAATCCTTTAAATCGTAGCAAGAGTACAAATGTCACAAGGCAAGAGGAAACAAAAATCCTTCGAAATACAAAAAAAAAAAGAAATTGTGTGTGTGCGCGTGTGTGTTTTTGTAATAAGCGATGTTTAGTGTTGGGGCACAATTACCATATTCTAGGTCACGCTGATGTCAGTACTCTAGTTGAAGGTAGAATGGTGAGTTCTGTCAAGATTTTGTCAGTTTGGTTCTTCTAGTAGTGAAGTCCTGGAGGCACAAAGGCCCCCTGATAAGGCTATGAGAGCGACTGCTGATTTGAAGACATGCACATGTAGAAAGGCAGCGAACTGATCCGCACAGGACGTGATGTCAGAAGGCAGGGTGTGTGTGGGGGGAGGGGCCGGTGACAGCAGCTGGGTGATTGGCGGCACTTGGCGGCCAATCAGAAGATCACGCAGTGGCAGCCACTCTTGTCCTTTTCTTTGCGCGTGGGCTCTGGTGAAGGTGGACACTCCTGCTCCTGGAACTTCCTATAAAAAAAAAGAGAGAGAAAGACTGTATAAAGTCTGTATAAACACTCTCTTCATTCTCAAATTTAATGAAGATCTGATGCTCTTACAGTAGGAGACATCTGGCTGACAAATTAATTTCCTTCAAGTTATTCATTCATTCCTTTAAATCATATTCCCTATATTTATCAGGGGTCGCCACAGCGGAATGAACCCCCAACTATTCGGGCACATGGTTTACACAACCCTGTACTGGGAAACACCCACATACTCTTGCGTTCACACACTACGGCCAATTGTGTTTACCTAATTCACCTATACCCTATGTCTTTGGACTGTGGGGGAAACCAGAGCACCTGGCGGCATATGAACCCAGGGAGAACATGCAAACTCCACACAGAATTGCTAACTGGCCCAGATGGAACTTGAACCAGCAACCCTCTTGATGTGAGGAGACAGTGCTAACTAATGAGCCACCATGCCACAACCCAATTTATTAAAATATTATCCTGTTGACATATAACAATCCAGGGGAAAAAGTCTTGAAATGTGTAAGATATGTAGGCCGGTGTATAATATCGGCTACTGGGAACTGATTGGTTCGTTGGAAGATGGACGTTGCTAACAAATGAAAAAACTGATGACAGAACTAAAGCAAGGCAGAAATGAGTTGCACTGATAGCCCCGCCCTACACGATTAATAGCCCAGTTCACATATATTAATCCTTTAAACTTTATCAAATGCACAGATTTTCAAAGCTAGCAAGCACACTATTCCATTTTAGTTACTGCTGTTTGTGTGCTGCCACCATCTGTTGAAAACAGCACTTTTTTACACAAAGACACAAATACACACACACACACACAGGTTTGCTATCCTGGTGGGGAAGTCCCCAGAAAATGTGTGCATTCAGGTTTAAATCCCCACCAGGATAATACAACATTTACACACACACACACACACACACACACACACACACACACACACACACACACACACACACACACTCTCTCTCTCTCACATTTACCTTATGACTCGGACCAGTTCGTGGAAAGCCTGGTCTACATTCATCCGGATTTTAGCTGAGGCCTCCATGTATGTGACTTTGAGTTGTCGAGCGAGCTGCTGTCCTTCCTCTTGGGTCACCTGAACAAAATAGTCATCCTCCATTAAAATGCAGCACTTTTTTTTTTTTACATTTAACTTTCTGATTGGCTAAACAATTATATTGAATGTCAAATATACCATGAAGTAAAAAAATAAGCATACGTTTATCAATTTTCTTTAACTCTGTAATCAATAATCCCCCTTGCATTTTTCCCAAACTTGATTGAGTTTGTTTCTTGGTGAGGACAAAAGAAGATATTTTGAGGAATGTTTTGAAGCCATTGACCTCCATAGTATTTATTTTTCCTACAACTGGTAACAGGTTTTAAGCTTGCTTTAAAATAGCTTCTTCTGTTAAGAAAAAAAAACTTAAAACTCAAAAGTTTGGAACTACTTGATGGAGAGTAAACAAATTTTAAAAACTGTCCCTTAATTTTTGTTAACTGTCCCTTTAAATCAGTAAACTGGGACAGGCTGATGTTCTCCGTTCTATCACTAGGTGGCAGTGTAACACAATCTGAGTGTCCTTTAATGGCACAATGCACCCAGTAACCCCATATATTTTATTACAAGCTCTCTCCCTCACAGACACACTGATATTTTTCACTCTTTCAGCACTCTTCATTGATTTTTCAGGACTGAATTTCATCCACACTTAATTGCATCTTAACAGCAACATTGTGTACTGTAAGAACGTGTATACAGTACTGTAATGTGTCATTTTACAGTACTGTAATGTGTCATTTTACAGCAAAAACTGTAGAGACTAAAAGTCTACAACAGATACAATAAAGTACCAAGTCATGCTATGATTTCAGTGCAGATAAAGAGTGTTGAGATCGACATATTGTTTCTGATTCAGTGTAGTTCTCTGAAATGACACTATACGTGATTCAAGTCACTCACTTGTCTCTGTTGCTCAAGATCAGCTTTGTTACCAACTAGAATCATGGGAAATTCATCTCGGTCCTTCACTCTCAAGATCTGCCGTTGAAACTTGTAGATCTCTTCAAAACTGAGGAAAACAAGGTGATACACAGCCATTAAAAACTGCTTGAAAATGGCTGTAATTGCTCTAACTAATTATTAGACTAATTGTAATTGCTCTAACTAATTAAAAAAATACTGTATATATAGTTGAAGTCAGAATAATTAGCCCCCCTGTACATTTTTTCCCCAATTTCTGTTTAACAGAGAAAATATTTTTTTCAACACATTGCTAAACAAAATAGTTATACTAAACAAAATAACTCATCTCTAATAACTGAATTAATTAATATTTGCCATCATGAAAGTAAATAATATTTTACTAGATATTTTTCAAGACACTTTTATACAGCTTAGTGACATTCTTATCTAGGTTAATTAGGTTAGGTAGGCATGGTTAGGGTAATTAGGCAAGTTATTGTATAATGATGGTTTGTTCTGTAGACTATCAAAAAGAAATATAACTTAAAGGGGCGAATTATATTGACCTTAAAATGTTTTTTTTATTATTAAAAACTGCTTTTATTCTAGCCAAAATAAAACAAATAGGACTTTCTCCAGAAGAAAAAAATATTATCAGACATACTGTGAAAATTTCCTTGCTCTGTTAAACATCATTTGATATCAATATATTCTGCAATGAAAACACACACACAAAGCGGAGCTCTTTTTCTAAACTAACCCTAAAGCAAGAAAAGTCTAGCAAGGACTGCAAAATTGGCTATATGGAAAACAAGGGACAATAAAGGCCTAGGGTTGACAGAACCTGATCCTTAAGTATTGTTTTTGTGTTTGATTGCAGCAAGAATAAGAATAGAACTGGTCTCTAAATATAATGTTGATGTATTGAGTAAGGAATAAAGTAAATTCAGGCAGTTTTGTTCCCGCAGAATAAATCCAGACAGGCTTATCATTCAGGCTTTATAATGGTAAATAAACGGGCTCAATGATGGACTGACAAAAAAAAAAAAAAAAACATGGCATATTTCTGTGGCTGCAGATTTCACATGGGCCTAGTTATTAGTTTCAGCAGAAATATCTCAGAATAACATAATTTAGAATGTCAGAACTGACGAATGTAATCATTTTTAATGGCATTTGAGTGTATTTTGGATATGCTTAAATCAGGAATGTATTTTAACAAAAAAAGAAACTAAAATGATTTTAAACCACCTCTTAATTCAATGTATTTTATTTTTTTATAAAAAGAAATTAATATTTACTTTTGTATTTTTTATTAAATTTATTTAGTTTTTGCATTTTATTTTAAAATGTTTTTATGTTTTTTTATTCAATTAAATTAAATTAATTTTCAATAATTAATCATTTTTTTATTAAAATCACATTTTTAATATTGTATGTACTTAATTTTTTTATTTTATTTATTTTATTTTTAAACATTTTAAAATATATAATTTTTTAAAATGTTTTATTATTAAACTGAATTCATTTTAATTTAATTAATTTTTATTAAATTCAATTTAATAGAGCTTTATTGGCAAGACTTGTGTTTGTGTCTCACTCTCTTTCTGTTCTGGCCCACAGAGCAGCATCACAGTACACAGGATGACACAAGGTCACCCAGTTCTCATGCCGTTACTATAAACTTTCCAGTAATGCTGTCAGATGACTGAAAGCCATCATAGAGAAAGAGAGAGAGAGAGAGAGAGAGAGAGAGAGAGAGAGAGACAGAGTGTGTGTGTGTGTGTGTGTGTAAACTGGGAAGAAAAGGACACTGATATGAGCTCTCTGTTGATTCTAACAGTTCGAGCCGTTTAAATGTCATTCAGGAGGAAATGCTTGTCATGGACTCTGGAGAGTGTGCTCTGAGAGGTCTGTGCCATCCGTAATGTAAACGGAGGAAGGAAAGTCTGTTTACAGCATAAACACAAACTGGGACAGACCGAGAGGGCACAAACACTCCCACAACGACCAAATACACACTGCTCTGCAATGTGCGTGAGATCTATTTACTGTAACTGCAGACAAAACCCTGAGGTGTAATTAAGCATCATCTCTAATTTTACAGCTACAGACGGCGATGTGACTGAGTAAAGGGAGGTGGTTTGATGTGAATTAAAAACGGCAAGCCTGAAACTGAATGAAAGTGAAACTGAGACAGGCCGTGTGGAGGGAAAGGGGAAGAAGGAGAGAAAGTTGAGAGAGAAAGCGTGAGTGGAACGTTTGCTCACCTTCCCCGGTCGGTGACAGAGAAGACCAGAAGGAAACCCTCCCCTGTCCTCATGTATTGTTCTCTCATGGCTCCGAACTCTTCCTGTCCTGCTGTATCCAGGACTAACAAACACAAAACCACCATGTTAGCATTTAGTCACATTAGCACTGTAGCTTTGATCATCAATAATAGCTCCATAGCTGTGCTCTGTCTTGTATTTTTGGCAGTTTTGAACTGACTAGAGTATTTACTGACATGTAAGAATCTTAAATAGAGAGTAAATAATAATCGTATGAAGAGACCAAAGTTTGCTTCCTTTTTTAACCGCTGTCTTAAATGATGCCTGCAATACTGTGAGTTAGTGGCCTATTCTGTTATCAAAGACTTGTTCACATTAAAGTCAGCATGAATTACAAATTCATATTATTTTGTACTGTGCTGTTTTAAGAAATAATGTCAAAATGCTTTTTTTATGGTGGCCGAGAGAGTTTATTGATCTGCAATTTAGGAAAGTGTATGCAATTACAAAAAACACCAGCAAAATAAGAAACTGTTTGCTCTAGTAGAGAAAAATAAGTGTTTTATTTCTGAATATTTTAAAATTAATTTGAAAAAATGTTTAAGGTAATATCTTTTCAGTTCCTTTTTTAAATAACTCTCAATGCATTTTAACAGTAAGAAGCTATGATACAGATTATTGAGCTGACACTTGACTACAAAAATAAATTGCAAATCAAATCGAAAAAAAAAAAAAAAAAAAAAAAAATCGCAATATCTATCAAAAAATAATAATAAAAATAAAAATCGCAATCAGATATTTTCCCCAAATCGCCATAGCTGTGCGTTTTCCTCTCAATAACAAAATAAACTCACGTACAAAAAAGAGCTGAGAAAACAGCATTATCTACATAATATAATAATAATAAGAAGAAGAATTATTTCATGAGCAGCAAATCTATATAAGATAAGAAATATTTCTGAATGATCATTTGACACTTAATACTGAAATAATGACCATCACAGGAATGAATTATTGACCTTATGCTTCACGTAAGAGCTGGCCCTTAAAATCTTTTTGTCTTCAGACTTTCGATCTCATTCACTTCCATTGATTTGTAGATGTTAAAAATAGCTCATTATGCTGCTTGATGTTGCAACCTGACATTTTCCTGATATACTATTCTGCTTTTAATGTATAATCATGAATAAACTTGTTTGTGGAGGAAGTAGTTAGACTGTTTTCTGCCGTTTGTTATTCCTAGTCATTTCTCCCATAGCTACTGAATCGGAAGTTCTAAAACAAGTGCAAAAACAAGCGCACTTCTACATTGTAGAATAATCCTAAGATTTATTTAAGAATCAGACTCCTTCGTCCATCAGCAGTGTACTTACTATCCAGCCGTGCAGGCCTCTCGTCAATCACACACTGCTTTGTGTACGAGTCTTCAATCGTGGGGTCATAGTCAGTGACGAAGTATGACTACACAAAAACAGAAAGAAAACAACATAAGGAACTTCAAAATAAAATATACAGTTCAGGCATAACATCACATCCAAATTTTTTGTTAGGATTACATCTGGTCACCATAAAACAACCTCATCAGATTTTGATGCTTTAGACCAGGGCTGCTCAACCCTGTTCCTGGAGAGCTACCTTCCTATAGAGTTCAGCTCCAACCCTGATCAAACACACCTGAATCAATTAATTAGGACCTAAACAGCACTTGATTATTACAGGCAGGTGTGTTTGATATTGGTTGCAAATGAAATCTTTAGGAAGGTAGATCTTGACATCCATTTGAATGTGGTCTTGTCATTGGCCCATCAACATTTTCTGCTCGTTATCATACTATTTCATAACTGTAACAAGAGGCAATTTAATCATAACTTAATGTTAAATCAGCTATCATAACATTATTTATCGATATGCAGCTCTTTTTGCATTTTCTGAATCTATAAAATGTTCTTAAAACAGCATGTTTGTAATGAAGAAAAGACGTAAAATCGCTGTGTAATTCATAACTGCTGGAATCACCACAGCTGCATAATGTAAGTACAACTATAAAGAGGACGTTTTAATCCCGGTTTGTGGATGTAAATCAGGTTTATTTTGTACAGTAACAACGATTATCCATACAGTAGTGTATATTAGGTAGCAAGTAGTCTTTAAAATACAGTAGACAGTTCAACTTGTGTGAATTTTGCAACGACATTGTGTGTGACTCGTCATTGCAGAAAGGCTTGAATTAACACAACAACAAGTAAATCACACACATACACATCATGAAATGCTGAAAGTTTTTTTTTTTTTTTTCGCGTGCAGTATTAAATTCTATTAAAACACCGGTCCTTACTTCAAACTCGCATCCAATACCTCAGTTTGTTGTGAGAGCATGAATGAAACTGCCAAACTGCAGTTAAAGTTGAAAAATATCAAATGAAACACCCGAAATTACATGAAACTCCAGAAGAAAACATGGATAGTCTGGTGACGCAGTGATGTCAATTGATGTATGTGCTATAACATGCAAAAGGAGATAATGAAAGAAACATTCATTTAAACACATTAATCATATTATTGTCCTATTCAGATTAAGGAAAATAATTTGATTACTGATGTCCAAACGTAGTCACTGACTGCTTATTAATGACAAAGGAGAATCAAACACACGTGTCGTAATGGTGGTTGGGATGAACCAGCTAATTTAAAGCACAGACTACAAAAAATAAAAAATAAACGGCAAAAATTTCCTCAAAACTCAATGTTAACATTTTCAGCAGGGTATAATAAATTACCTGATGGATATTTTGAGCTGAAACTTTACAGACACATTCTGGATACACCCAGGCTTATCTTACACCTTGTAAAGTGGCTAAAATAGGAGGCCTTAAACTTAAGCTTTGACTGAGATATGTACGAGCATAAAGAGCATTTGTTTTGGCTCACACTCAAAACAAAACACTGAAATAAAAAATATGAACATGGGAAAGCTCAACATTACAGCAGATTTGAACACTGCAGTCAGTGTAAAAATGGAGTAAGTCCAAAAGTCACATAAATTTACACAATGTACAAATGGAAAAGGATGATTAAAATTACATACAGTTGAAGTTGCTGAATTATAAGCCCACTGTGTATTTTTTTCCCAAATTTCTGTTTAATGGAAAGAAGATTTTTTAACACATTTTCTAACATAACAGTTTTAATAACTCGTTTCTAATAACTGATCTTTTCCATGATGACAGTAAATAATATTTTACTAGATATAAGACACTAGTATTCAGCTTATAGTGCAGTTTAAAGAACTAACTAGGCTACTTAGGTTAACTAGGCAAGTTAGAGTAATTAGGCAAGTAATTGAATCAAAAATAACTATTAAAAAATATTGCTTAAGGGGGCTAATAATATTGACCTTGAAATGTTTTATCAAAAATTAAAAACTGCTTTTATTCTAGCCAAAATAAAACAAATAAGACTTTTTTTAGAAGTAAAACTATTATCAGGCATACTGTGTAAAATTCCTTGCTCTGTTAAACATCATTTGGGAAATATTTAAAAAAGAAAAAAAATACTAATAATTTTATTTCAACTGTTGTCTATTAATTATTATAACTTAAGATTCCATTTCTACCAAGACATTAGTGAAGCTGCAAAATATTTGCTGACTTATATCTGAAGCTCATTTAAATATAAATTTTACACGTGATGTCATAGGAAGTTTGTCTAAAACCATTATCCATTTTGAGGAACCAGTTTGTACGCAAACATCAACACCGACTTGAATGCATAAAGAGCATTTGTTTTGAAAGCTATGCAAAATAAGGGCTTACACCCATAACACAACGTAACAGACAAACTGTTATGTAAAATAAAAAAAGAGGTCTGCCCTTGTGTTTACGGTGCAAACACGAGCTTGATGTCAACATTATTTCCATTTGGGGCTGATAATTACAGTTAATTAACCGCAACATTTTCCGTTTCCACAGGCTATGTTTCTGAACACGGTATCAGTTTGTAGTGGAAGGGGGAGTTGTAGGGAGGCATTTTTCACATTTTTCCCATGTTTTGTGTTCCTCCCATCCCAGGAGGCTGTTGAAGTGACGACAGCTAAACGTTGTGCTCAGGCTTGTCTCTGTGTCAACTGAACACATGCTCATTCTCACACACAACAATGTCAAAGCAGTAGTTTCTTATTATTAGTTTGACTATCGATGTTCCTGTAATCGCTGCTCCAGTCATCTGTTTTTAGCAGTGAAACGAGAAGCATTAAAAAAATGAGAGTTTAACTTTGTTCTCCTTTTTGTGGCAACAATTCAATGAAAAGGGTTTGAACTTCTAAAAAAATTAAAACAAGTTTATATTGCAAAACAAAACAAATAAATAATAACAATGTCATATACTTCGCTAAAAAAATAATTAACAATGTTTTTTGAAAGTCTCTCAACAAGCTGTATAAAGAAACAATATACTAATAAAATTTTAAATAATAAAATATATTATTATTATTGTTGTTGTTGTTATTGTTGTTGTTGTTGTTGTTGTTTTTAGTGGCTTGAAGGGCATCTACAGCAAAAAATGCATGGTAGAGTAATTCGTGGTTCTTTCCACTGTGGCAGCCCCTGATAAATTAGGAACTAAGATGAGGAAAAGTGAGTGAGTGAATAATAATTATTATTATTATTCTTATGTCTATTCTTCTTCTTCTTATTATTATTATTATTATTATTAATATTATTATTATTATTTATAACCATTATTATTAAGGCTGCACGGTATTGGAAAAATCTGATAATGCAATGTTTTATTTTCCTGCGATTAAATATTGCAATATGAATACAGTTTCAGAAGATGGTTTGAATTTGTCCTTAAAACAAGCTAAATTATCTGCCAGTAGGATAAGTAAAATCTTGTTTTCATTTTGAAAAGTAGATGCTTAGACTAGAAAAAAAGACAAAAATTTGAAGAAAATAGCTTTTTTTTTGTTAAATCATATAAATTCCATTTAAATACAGTAATTAAATACAATTCTGTAGCTCCTGCTCAACTAATGCTATGGTAACCTAACTATAACTATAATGGTACGGAAATCTGAGTCTGTCAAATAAGAGCAGGTTGAGTAGCCTTGTGAAGGTGGCAGGCCAGATCATCGGTTTTAACCAAACTGGCCCAATTGTAATTTACCGCAATTATGTTTTAAAGAGAGCTCAGGATATCTTATGCCCCCTGGATCAGCTATTGTTTCAGCTGCTGCCATAAGGACGTCGTTTTAGAGTTCCTATTTGCAGGACAAACAGAATTAGAAATTCTTTTATAATGGTGGCCATTAGGTTACTAAATAAATTCAGCAGAGAGGGAGATGCATCAAAAATGATGTATTATATGTTTTGTGGTAATAATTTAGTAATGTGAACTTTGCTGCAATTTTAGTTTCCCTAAACGGGATAATAAAGTTGAGTGTGAATGTGACAGATTTTTCAGACTTAACATTGCATATCTTGTGATGTGACAATTGCTGATGCACACATTGCGATATGAATGCTTTATTTCAGTAATAAGTGTCAAATTATCATTCAGAAATATTTTTGTTATGTTGATTTGCTGCTAAAAATATTTCGTATTATCACTGTTAATAATACTTTAGATAATGTAGATGTGCCTTTACTTTTGATCAATTAAATAAATCCTTCCTAAAAAAAAATTCAACTGCCAACAAACTTTTTAATAGAAGAAAAACAACTGACCAATATTGTTAAATGTCTTTAAAAAGTTGGAGACATCTTCTAATGTCTTAAGTAAAGATGATGATGATGATGATGATGATGATGATGATGATGATGATGATGAATTGTTATTTAAAGTCATTTCAGCAACAAAGGCTATTTTCATGGACATTTCACAAACATATTTTCAAGAACATTTCATTAATACATTTACAAATAAAAACAACAAATAAATTTTTAGTGTTAATGCATGATAAAAATTCTAAAACTTTTCCTGGAGTCACTTTGTTAAAAATGTCCTCAGGAGGTAATTTAATAAAAAAGCCTTCTGGAATCATGTAAAGCAGAACAGTCCAGTAGGATGTATTATACAGTTAGCTGAATTGTGCAGAACAAACACTGACTTTTATATCTTATGTAATTTGGCTTCTTAGGTAAGTTATAATACTGTAGGGCCAGACAGAATCCGCAGACATTTTGAACTATTTCTGCGGAGGATTTGTATAAAGGATCTGCGGATTTATGCAGAATGATTTTAGGAGTATCGTAACTAAAAACTTAATATATGAAATAAAAATAATACATTTTTAACTTTTATTTAATGTTTACAATGCAAATCTAATTAGATCCACTTATTTGGTAAACAAAGCAAGTCTCTCATATATTACATCTAGTAAAAGACAGAAAATATGACTTTACGAGCTGTATTGTAAATAAATTAAATGAACACTTTCATATTTGTCAATAATTATACCGAAA